GATTACGATCTGAGGAGTCAGAAGAACGTAATGAATAAATAAAAATTAAATGATGATTGTAGAAAAATTTTTATTAATAATAAAAATTTATTATTAATAAATACTTACGCTTTTTTATTAATATTTTAATTTCTCTTAAACTTAAATTTTTATCGAGATAGTACAATTTAAAAAATGTAAGACATTATAATAATTTCTTCTCATAAGATGTCAAGATTAGCGGAACATGACAAAATAAGAATTGATTAGAAACTATACATTATATTTCGATTGTTCAATATATTTATCCAAGCGACTGAGAATTTTTAAGGGCAACGACTATATATAATTTGTGCACGGATCGCCGCATTATCGGCGATCATGCTTCTCGAGGAAGAAATGCACGGGCACTAACACACCTGGTGTAACCGGCAGCGGTGATCCTGACACAATGGGACACGTACCACCAAGGAGTAAAGGGTTGCAAGAAGACGAGAGTCTTCCGGGAAGAGATGAAAGACTCTCGTTCGTTGGTCAGGTGTGCTGTACATTCTGAAAGAACGATTAGTTTTATACGGGGTCAACTTGCCTCTTCAGCAATGTCAGAGATCGTGAGACCGTTATTGCTCGAAATTTCATGCAGAAATATTCAGATTACACGCTGCATTGCTTCTTATAAATAATGAGGAAAAATATGTACAATTAAAAAATAAAAATATAAAAGTAATTATATTTTTCAAGCATAATTCGTGAAATATTACTTTGATTTTCTAGAAATAAAGTTACAGTGATATTTATAAAAATCGATATGTCAACAATAGAACTTATCAATTTCAATGATCGAAATCGTTGTAGAAGGCAAGAAAAAAATATTCATCGATGTCGATGACCTCGACCTCTTCCTTTTTGTGCCCGAAAACCTCGTTCTATTCTCGGTTCAGGGTCCGTACGTTGCGATCTTTTGTCACCGCGCAGCCGCTTTTCTGTCGCAAAAGTCTTCGCACAGCGCAAAGCCTCGGCATTCCATACACAAACGAATAATGGAACCTTTTACCCCGGCGTTTTATATGTGTGCATATCCGTCTTGACGCACCTGTTCGATCAGGCCGGTCGCCATAAAAGCCCAGCGGCCAAGGTAGCGTTTGCTTCCACACTTTCTTGCTTGTGCATGCATTTCTGAGCGAGTGTGTACATACAGCGCAGCCTCTGCAAGGGCCGGTACTCGAAAATAGCACGTGCACCTGTCGTGCCGAGCGAAAGGACACCGTTCAATGGGCCGTCATAATTACAGTCATAACGGCAGTTAACTATACAATACGAGACCGTAAATGTAAAACCCTCAGATTTGAGTATTCGAACATTAAGATCAGCTTGAATGCCACGTTATTCATTACAAAATAATTGTCCCTATCCAGATTATTATCATAAAAGGAATTATGAAATTTCGCATTGATTTTATAATAATATCTTTAATCGATCTTAGATAACTAAATGAAACACATGTTGCTCGCGTGCATCGATCAGCCTGAAACCTCGATTAAACGCGTGTTTAACTCGCACGTTGACCCATATATTATCGATGCGATAGTGTCGGAAGGGCGAGATCGTGGCACACATCCATATGGACGAGTCGGCCAAACAAAAAGCTTGATTCGGAGCCAACACGGCCGATTGAATCGGCAATGCGTGTGTGCTAGAAGCGCGTGGGATTTAATACGCATTGCAGGTAGCCCGTTTTTGATCGGGCGAAATGAATTGGACGCATTTCTAGTGCGCGTTTACTCGCCATATGTTGTTTGTTCCGTTAAAAGAGCTTTGTGCCGGCGCGAACACGCTTCGATGTATGAATGAACACGCGACGGAAAGAGAGAAAAGGATGGAAGGAGAAGGATTCTCTCTCTCTCCTTCTTCCTCGTGCGTGAGCGCGAACCGTCTCTCGATTCTTCATTGTGCGGAGAAATTGGATAACCTGCCGGATAATCCGCGCGCATTCACGCCAACGCATCCGACATGTATCGATTAACTCTCGCATGATGAGATGTATTGGCGAGGCGAGCTATAACTGTCATAACCGGAAGACGCGGTTAACACACACGTTGTGTAAGTAACGCGGATTATGATCAACTTCACAGAAGCTTAACTATAACTATTGTTTGCTGCAGAAAGATATAGCTGTTGAACAAATAATATATTTGTAATATATCGTAATATACTCGTTATATTATAATTGTAAAATATAATTAAAGATTTTTCTTCTTTTAAGGATAGAATGTAGTTATACAGCTGATTTAAAAAACATTTTTCACATAAATATCTGATAATTTAAAAAATTAACAAGTCTCGTTTTGACAGAAAAATTTGGAATTCTCTCTATTTGTCGCATGATCGATTCGGATCATTCGTGTAAAATTGTAGTAATGAATAAATGATAATACTTGAAAAATATAGAATGCGTGAACTATGAAAAAAGATTATTTTTATCATTGATAAATAATAATGATTTCCTCTCTTTTTCTCGGCGGCACAAATTGCATAACGAGCATAATTTGATGAAAAGGATATAAATATCACTGCTTGTTGAAACTGCGAATAAATTTATTTATCACGACCTTGTAATTTTTCTACTATTTTCGTATATTATTTATTACATTGACACCAATACATGCAGCGAAATATATACTTGGTACGTCAAATCAATCCCGAATCGGATTCAATCGATTTGTTTCGAGTCAAGTACGAGGCACTGACAATTATTTTTATCGAAGGCCTCCGAGACTTCTGAATCATTTATTCCAAAAGATTAAGTACACCTGCGCATTTCAATGTTCGTCGAAAGATTTCTTTTTCTCTTTTAAATGATTTCTGTCCTCCAAAATGAGTATCGCGTTTTCTTGTCGAAAGATAAAGCGCGTGATTATACGAATCTCTAAGACATATCGATATGTTATAGCAAACTTCCGACACGATAGATAAAATGTGATAACCAAAATTCGGCAAGATTATATAATACTCATATATTTAGTAATCTCTCGTAAGCGATTGAAACAGTTGGAAATGTAATAAAGCAAAACTTTGTGTCCATAAAAATTTTAAAAATATTATAAATATTTTATACCACAAATAGGGTTTATTAAACTTAATCTAAACTTATAAATATATAAATATATACTAGAGAAGGCATATGTGGGAAATGGAGAAGACAAGGATATATATAAAACACATGAGAGTTTAAAATCCACATAATTCATTTTGTATAAAATATCTCTTTCTATATATATAGGCAATATCTCTATTTTTTCATGTAGTAGTTTACTTTCTTTACAAAACTAGGAATAGTAATATTCACCTGAGCCGCGCTGTTAATTACACGCACGATAAAAAGTAAAACTACACAACAACGGCTCGCTCGAAAAATCTCTCTACTTCTCTCTCTCTCTCTCTTTATATATATATATATATATATATATATATATATATATATATATATAATATATCTTTATTTTATATATATATATATATATGTATATATATATATATATATATATGTATATATATATATATATATATATGTATATATATATATATCTTTTTTCGATAATCATAGCGAGTCTTTTGTTCTTCTGCGTATAATACAATGACTAGTTTGTTCGAGAAACTTATAGTGGATTTGCAAAACGCAAAGTACGGAAAACGTTAATGCAACATACAGAGCCGAGATCTTTTTTTTTCTCATTCCATGCTTTAAACGTTTTTCTTTCCTTTTATCAGTACAGCTCCGTGCCCAACGCAGGTAAATTATAATATTTGTATTATTTTACTCGCTAATCGATAAGTGCTAAACTGTACAATCTGCACTTTAACGCGTGCGAGCGCGTGCATATGATTTAACGTCGCCCTCCACATGGCACTTGGAATGACACTTGGTGCATCGCAACGCGTCAATTTTTCTTAAATTTTTTTTCAAATTTACATTATTACATTTAAAATATATTTCTCGCATCTTAAAATTTTTTTTTAATACGACATTTTTCCAACACTTCGTATTTTTCATGTTTTAAGTGTTTTCTTCCAGCAAAATTGAGAAATCGTTAGCGATACAGTCAAGCGTCATTCATCATCGAATAGAGATACGCTCGCACGCCGAAGCAATAACGAAATGAAACTCAGAAAAAAAGAAAAACTTGCAAATCGTCCTACATCTCGATCTTTTCGTTTTGATCGCATTTTACATGTTCAAATGTATCGGAAACAATGAAAAAAAAGAGAGAAAATGGCATGACATAAAAAAATGGCACAGCAGTTTCACGGGACCACATCACGCGGTAATCGAGCGGCTCTTTATTGCCAATATTCTTCACGTACTCTGAATGACGTGATTGATCTTTCGGAAGGACGAAATAATTTCTAAGTACTAGTATTATCAGCGCGCATACGATAAATCATAAAACTATTCATTCCTTCATTTCTGACTTCGATTGATATTCTTCTAAAAGTGAGAAAATAAAATTTCTTACTAATATAACTTCATATAATTATTTTTTTATGTAATTTATGTGTACGTGTCGGTTTTGGATATTTTAAAAAAATTATTAAATGCTTTTACACTCTTTTAAAAATTTAAAGTCAAAGATTGGAAAGGAATATATATTTTTATGAATCACTGCATGTTTGTTACACACACTTGTATACCGATATTTACAGCGAAGAGCAAAAATGAACAAACCAACTTTTATAAAGCTTTTCGAGATATTTGTTTGTAAAATTCAATTTCGTAACGCGACGCGTATTTGATATGATTTTAAAATGCGTGAAATTGTTAATCCTTTCTCCGCAAGATAATAAAAATAATAAAATCATATAATTCTTGTAGTGAATTTTTTTCTAAAATTAACTCCAAATATATATATGAATATTAGATTATTTTGTTTTTTCTCAAAATTAAATTTTAATTGTGCAAAATACAATTTTGTACAAAAATACAAAATACAATTTTGTATAAAAATTTCAATTTAATGCTCGCTTTAATAAAAACGTTTAATAATAAAAAGGATTAACTAAAGACGATATTCCGCGAGCGATTCACCGAAAGATACCGGGCTGCATTATCTCGTCGTTTGTACTGCATTTTAAGGCACTTTGAGACCGGGATTGAAACATACGTTCGTCTCCGTGGTACAGATCGCGCAAACTTGAAATTTTAGCAAGGATAAGTGACCGATACCGGGACACCGGGACAACCGCCCTCCTGATGCTTCGTAAGCAACGACATCCTGCTAAAGGTTTTACTGCACCTGTCACAGGAGTACTTCTTGACGTCGCTGTGAGTCTGTAGATGAGCCCTGAGATTGCTCCTGTCGGCGAACGCGCGATTGCAATGCTGACATCTGAATGGCTTCTCGCCAGTGTGCGTCCGGATATGACCTTGAAGAAGCCACGGCCTGGAGAACGCTTTGCCGCACGTTTGGCACTTGCAGGGCAGGGTATGCGTCCGGATGTGCATCTTGAGCGCGCCCAGACTGACGTACACCTTCTGACAGTATTTGCATGAGAAGGATTTCTTCGCCTGGCCCTGGGCAGCCGCGCAATGAAACTGCTGATGCTTCGACAGACCCGAGTACGTCGAGTACGACTTGGTGCAGTCCGCGCACGAGTACCTGGGCGACGTCGTGTTCGAAGACGCGCTCGCGCCAGGGCTGCTCTTCTCCATCTTCGTGTTCACGATCGTAGGCCCGGCGGAGGTGCTACCCGCGGATGATCTGCCGCTGTCGCTGCTGGGTGACGAGGACAGGTCTTCCGGCGTGACCGGCGGAGGTGACCGCAGCGAGCCGGAACCCACGGAACTCGTGGGCGATAAGCCACAATGATCCGGACTGTGCCAGTGGTAGTTCCTGACGATGGGTCGTTGAATGGTCGGGCAAGTCAGTGCACCGTGCGGCGGTGGCGAAATTGACGGATGATGCTCCGGAGACGAGTGAGGATACCCTGATACTGGATACGACGGATACAATTCCGCTCCGGGATAACGATAGGCAGGCGGATGGTACGGCAGGTAATGAGGCGGATACAGCGGGGCCGCGCGGGCCCAACCTGGAGCGGCGTAATGCGCCAAGGGCTCGACCGGTGTGTTTAGATTCAACGGTTCCAAGGGCGTCTTGCTTGCCATAAAGAGCGATGCCGATGTCGCCGTCATGCCCGCCGTCGGCGTCGCCGTGGAACTCTCATTGTGCTGGATCACCTCGACTCGCGCTTTCTTCGCGACCGGATGAATCGGCGCGATACCCGCTGGCGGCGTGATAGTCTTGGTCGGATAGTGATGGTGATAGTGATGCAACGGTGATGAATGGACGTACATCGAGTGGTGAGTCGTCGGCGAGGATGGCTCTATCGTTAGAGGCGGAAGAGATAATTTAGGGATCAGCGGCGGTGTCCTGGATCCGGCGCGTTGTTGTTGTTCTTGTTCTTGTTCTTGCTGTTGTTGTTGTTGTTGTTGATGGTGATTATGATGGCGATCGGCCGTTCTCCTGAGATCCTCGGGCTTTGTGCTAAGATTCTCGGGTTCGGGAATATCGTCTACTCCTACGTCGATTATCTCGTCTGCAAGATACGCGTTGCATACATGATAAAAAAATGTCTAGTTTACAAAATACAAGTATACGTATTATTAAATTTAATTTTTATTTTATTAATTTTTTGTGTCATATATGTTACACATATTTATAGTGATATCTTGTTATTTTAGAATACAGTAATATAAAAATTGTAAAAATTTAGATATATAAGATTAGAAAGAAGATAGAAGCAACGAAAACAAAAAAGAAAAAAAGAAAGAGAGAGGAGATAATAATGAGATATTGAAATATTATATATCTCTCTCTGTTTATCTCTCGTAAAACTAAAATTATTGCTATTATTATTTATTTTGTCTCTTGAATAATATATAATTATTTATATAGTAATTAATATATTATATATCTAAAACAAAAAGAAAAAGAAAGCAAGAGAAATGATGTATAAAATATATTTTCTATGCCAATTCTACACTGTAAAAAAGTTTTGTGTAAATTTACAACTATTATAGTGGGTAATATTGAGACCAACTATTAAAAGTGTATATTTATATACATTAGTAAATTTACATTTCATAGATAAAATTATTATCTTTAATGGTAAATAAGCATCTTATACTAATAAATTTACATATTAGAAGTAGATTTCTAGAAATGTTTATGTAATAATACATTTTGTATATGTATTTATACAATTTCACATATTAAATTTAATTTAAAATTACATACATAATTAGTGTAACAATTACGCTATTTATAACGAAAATATATAAATTCATGTACTTTTACAAAAATTAGTTATTTTACTCTTTATTGTGTAAATATTCGTTTATTAAGTGTAATTTTTAAATTTTATATAAATGTTACAAAAAAATTGTACATTTACATAAATTCCAAAAATTACACTTTTAATCTTGTAATTTCTTATCAAATATAAACGAATATTTACACAATAAAGAGTAAAATAACTAATTTTGGTAAAAGCACATGAATATATATTTTTCCGTTATAAATAGCATAATTGTTACACTGATTATATGTGTAATTTTACATACTTTTTTTACAGTGTAGATAAGTCTGTGCGATATAAACGTCAACGTGTACATGATAAAAGTAATTTCAATTTACACAATAGCGAATGAATAATTTCGCGATAATCACCTTTGACTTCAGGGGCTTCATCTTCGTCCTCGGATGTGTAATAAAACGGCCGCTTCTTTAGCGGGCAGTGACTATAATTGTTATTCTTTTTCATGACGCTGTGCGGCATCTCGGCGACCAGCATTTTGGCACTTTTCGTAAAAATACTTGAAATAGTCTTTTTCGTATTTGTTGACACCGCGACACTACGAAGACACTCTCTTGCTGCGTTTCTTCTCTTTTATCTACGTATCTATTTTCTTTCTTTATTTAATGACACGACGACATGACGAAGGCACCGCGTTTTCCTTTCTCGTGTTCTTTTATAAATATTTGTCACAACGTCAATCAAATAATTACATTCTCGATGAAATCCTCAAGATAACAATCTTTACGCGGCAACGTCACTGCACTGTTATCTCACACATAAGTTCGATGTCTTCTTTTCCGAAAATAAAATCGGCACTTTTTAATCTCTTCTCAGGAAAAGAAACAAGATCGATCCCGCCCGCAGGTCCGTTCGAATTCGACCGACTGATCGAGCGATTCAAGTGGATCTGAACTCGCATGAAACACGAAAGTGAAACGTAGGGATACGCTGCATCGACTCGCTGCGAAAGTTTCGGCTGCAAGCCGGTGTCTGACTGGCAGGGGATTGTGTCAGGGTCTCTTATAACAGATCGCCCCACCAACTAATTGCAGGTGGCCCGCACGTGCTGCCAAGCCAATACGGGCCTGTAGGCCCCGCGCTGCTTGCCAATGGGAGACTGTCGGTTGTGGGCCGTTGGCCAATCGACGTATGTTCCACCGGCTGGTCCCCCCGTCGTCGTCGAGGTACAGGATGCTCGTGAGTGCGACGCGATTGTCCGCTGCGTACCGCATGCCCTCCTGCCTTTTTCATCATCCCTTCCGCTCTACTCGCCATTTCTTTCTTTTCTCTCTCTCTTTCTGTCTGTCACGCATACACACATACACGCGCGCGCGCGCGCGCGCGTGAATTGCAATGTGTGCATGTATGTTGTTCTCTACGGAGCAGATGCTGTGACCCCTCTTAGGAGACCCCCCTCCACTCATATATACATATCAGGGATACGCCGGTCGCGCGCGCGTGTATTGAATCCCCTCCGCGCGAGAACTCGGCGACTCGCATTTTTTATTCGAATTTCCGTTCGGCCTACCTGAACCCCGCGCCGTTCCTTCTCTCCCTCTTTGTGCGAGAGTAGTTGTCGCGTCGGCTGTTTTGTACGTCTCTTACCTGTGTGCACGCTTGCCTGTCACACGCGTGTGTACGTGCGAGAGCGTGGTATAGAGGGCAGACATCCACCTCCTGTTCCCCTTCTGAATTTCATCCTCCCCCCTTTCGCGTCGACCTACGGTGCCAGATCTGAACGTAACGGTCGTGTCGCGTGCCACAGCATCGCCCACGCGCGCCGGGGACCTATACGTGCGTTTGTAGCACGTACGTGCACGTGCTTGTGGGAGCACTCATGCCCCCCTCTTGTGCGCCAGCAACAGATTCGCATTAGATCGCCTGCAATTTTCGCGCGAAGGGAGAAACACGCGACGTCTTGTGGGTTACGTGCGTGGAAAGAGATAGAAAGCGTCCACGTTTTTTTAGGATGCTTGTCAATACTCGAATATATTGCCTGTAATTTTAATAACCGGACCCATATAATATTTGCGAATATTTGAATTGTTCGATTTTAGGAAAACATCTTATGATTTTCGCTCGAAAGCTATATTTTTCCTCTTGTTTTCTAAATTATATTCAAGTTATGAAAATAGGAATAAATAAAAGCGTATTTTTTTCGCTATTGTCAATGAGATTAATTAATTATTCAAATGAAATAATAATCGGAGCAAGAGATGAATGATGGACAGGCATCGCGAGAAAGTAAGAGCTAAGCGATTTTTTTTATATAAGATTTTTATACCTATCGAAAGCAGTTCGTATCTACTTTATTCTTCGGATTAGACGTGCACATAGTCAGTCATTTCGTCGTATTATTTAGTAATAATGGAAGAAATCGAGTCAAGTAAGAAAAATTGGAAAGAAGAAAACGGAAAAAGAGAGAATGAAAAAGAGATATAGGTGCAAGCAGAGCAGAAATTTTGGCTTAGTATGAGTATTATTAAATATTTGTTTTTTGATAAAATAGTCCTCGTTATCATCAATATGGATTTAACATTTGTTTATTTTACAATATTTTAATTTCTACGATAAAGCAGCCAAGAGTGATGCATTCATTTTGTGCAGCAAACACATTAAACAATTCTGCCTTCATCTTTTTGTACTATCAATAGCAATGATAGTTGTGTCATATAGTCAGCATATCGCACAGATTATTATTACATATTGATAAGATGTTTAAAATAATATTTTGCAGAGAGAGAGAGAGAGAGAGAGAGAGAGAGAGAGAGAGAGAGAGAGAGTCAAGCTAATCTATTTCAAACAGTAATTTCACAAAGTTTGTTTTAAATGCAAAACGATCAATATATAATAAATAAATATTTTACAATGTTAAATCATACTTTTCGCGACGTTATTTAATTCTTGAGATAATAAAGAACATCATTATTTGTAAAATTCGGCACGAATGCGATAAAACAATGCTTATTGAGAAAATTATACCAGCAGATTTCAGGTTCTTGATACAAAATACTTTGATTGTTGGCCGAACGAACGAACTTAAGACGAGGCTGTGATTCTTTGAGATCATTGCACAATGAAGGGGGCCTTACGCGTCGTAGCGACTATTCACCGTGAGAGGAATGGAAAGAAAAAATAAGAGGAAAAACTCAGGCACACCGTTTTTCTATTCACGATTGACGAAATATCCATCATTGTGAATGCTGTGGTTCTCGATCTGCTGCGATGATCATTGCAGTTGACGACTTTCGTAAAAGAAAACCGATTCATATGGATTGAGCGATACTGATGCAAGGGATTAAGAGAGAAAACGTATTCACATAAGATACATGTGGATTTTTAAAATCCGAGGAGGCATTATCTCGGTTGTAACAATATTGAATTCCTCAATCGATTAACCTGTGGAATTTTCTGGTTTTTTGTACGAGTAACGGTGAAATTCTCAAGTGGAAAATATTAATAAGATTTTTTATTTCTCTTTATGAATGAAGTATTTTATTTTTATTCGTAAATATATAAAATATAATTCTTATCAATATGAGATTTAAATATATAATCGCGTCAAAGCATTGCTTATGGCAATAAATTACTTAAATATTTTATGTACAATTTTATTAAATACAAGAATGATAAAAATTAAATATTAAATAGAAGAATGATAAAAACAGGGGAGATGTCATTATAGAAGTCAGCCAAAACGAATATGAATAAGATACCAACGTTATTTTGGATATGTCATAGGGAAATTCGTTAAATAATTTTTAAGACAAAGTTTTTGTTAGAATCTTGCATCTTTGATCGTGATCCATTCACCACAAAAAACCAAGATATTGGCGTACATTGGTCAAAGTATTAAAAATCTGGGCTTATTATTCTAAAGTAGAATAATTCAGAAATACTTTAAGATGCACCTTAAGATGCATAGAAAGTTGCATAAATAGATAATGCTTAAAATAAAATTTGAATGATAAATTGCGGTTCAAATAACTTTTTGAAATAAATATATTAAGTTTTTCATATTTAATTCATAAATGAGTATATTTTATTATCTGTATAAAAATATCTATAGAAATATCTATCTAAATTATCTATATCTATAGAAATTTTATCTAAATTATTCTTTTAACCGAATTCTCAATTGCATATGATAAAAGTATTTTGTAATTAATATAAATTACTTTTTATATATAGTGTTAATGTTTAAATTTATGATTTCTCTCTTTTTATCAATTTAAAATATATTTTTCAATTCTAACTTTTTTTAGGCAAGACTTATTACATTATTGGTACGATTTGCACGTAAATAAATAATTATTATAATTTATTATAATAAGAAAAACTTTACATATATATTTTTTCATTAATTTTACATTAACACTTGAGAAAGCAAAAATATTTTTAGATTAAAACTTTAATAATAAGATTTGCACTGTGTCCAATGTCAGAAAATAAAATTTATACAACAGATATAAATCCAAATTCCTTCAAAAGACCAAAACAAAAATGATTCGCGTTGTACAATTGAAAATAAATTATTACCAATGTAGCTAGAGTTTATTATAAAATACGAGGCAAATTTTATTTAATCACTCCAAAGTTGGAAAATCTAATATCAACGAAGCGACTCTAGCTTTGATGTTGGATTCGATGCGAGAAGAGGTAAAAAGCCCTTTTTCGATTTCTCCTCCCCTCCGCTTTTCGGATGGTATCTGCCACACGTGTAGGGATCCACGGGCCCCGAAAATGGGTCTACGTAGCTAGTCTCGGTGGGGCCGATCGCATATGGTGGCGCGCACACACTCGTATAAAGCGTTTCAGCGTAATAGCCAGGTGTTTCAAAGGTGAGGCGATGGGGCGCCCCTCGAGGCGGCACGTAACAAAAAAATAAACCAGCTTCCTTCCGATGGGGCTATACCTTCTAACGGGGCGGCCACCCGGTACATACACACACGGATCCTCTATGCGCGCGCCGTAATAATTATACAGATTTATTCGGACGGGCCCGGATCTCGCAACGGGTTAATAGCGAGCGCGCGCGAACTGGTTGAGTGTTCCGGGGACTCGTAACGTCGCGCGTCGGGTATCTTGCCGAGGGTCGAGGAGTCACACCTTTCATTTCCTCTCGCTGTAACGTGTAATTTACCACTTTGAGCGGGAAAACAAGAATCGTACCGAGATACCGGCCGTAAACGGTTGTCTATATAAGTATACGCTCGCCCGACGTATGTATCTATCTTCAAAAAACCGAGCGTTCCTTCTCCCCTATAAATTGTTCACGACTGTGGCCATTTTGTGATTTTGACTATATCATTATCTCATATTGTAAACAGAAGATGTGCGTCAGAAAGCATTTTTGGGAATTAAATCTCTCTTAATCTTTTACAAAATAATTAAAAATAATTAAAAATAATTAAAAATTAGAGAAATCAAGAACTTTTTAAAGATATTAAAATCGATTAATGAAACCCACTGCAGTCTCAACCTGCTTCTTCCATCGCGCATAGTTGTATTTGTATTTCTTCTCGCGATAGGGCGGAAATGGTTGGCCATTGCGGCGCAACAACATAACCGACGAACACGGTGCCAGTGGGACCTGCTTCCATTTACGTGCGCATAAAGAATCTTTTCGCAAGCAACCTGTGCGAACGCGCGATTACCTATAGTATCAGCGTGAAGGGCGCCGGGTTGTTCCCTAGGAATTCACACGCATGGGACGTACACTTTATCGTTGACAAACGAAAGCGAGGGTAACTTAGCGCGCCCAGTATTCCGTATAATTTATCCGCCACGTAACGAAGGAAGGAAGGAAGGAAGGAAAGAAAGAAAGAAAGAAAGAAAGAAAGAAAGAAAGAAAGAAAGAATCGGAATTCTTTGCCGGAACCATAGTTACCGGAATAACCGGGTTAAAATGCAGGTTCCCTCGGATCTCTCTTCACCTTCCCTCTTTCTCGCTCTCGCGTCAATTTAAGACGAGAAAGAGTTGTGCGAGAGACAGATAGCCGCGTGAAAG